AACCGTATCTTTAATCCTCACCATAAACGTAACTGACTGTTAATATAACCCGACTTGGCTACGTTTGCGAATTCTACTTACTACGCGGCGTTTTCATGTACATACCAGAAACAGTTACATATATCTATCTACTCGTACTAAATAAGTAGAAACTTCAACATTTTAGGTAAATTGATTGTAAATTGGTGTCAGTCGAGCATTGCGAGTAGGGTAGTCAACGTCCACATAGGCTTCCTTAACACAGCATGACCGTGGTATTAGGAGGGATAAATGCGCATAAAAAGCGACCCACAATACTAGAAAATCATAACTATCAGACGTTTTGAAGGTTACCTTCTAGCAATTTTTAATAGATCCTTGCATGCAACCCCGATTCCCATAAAAGTCTCCATAGTTGTGGCTTATTATGTGACTGTAAAGTGTTGTGTTTAACTGCACTTAGCCACATTATGTGTTTTCAGAGAGGAAATGGATGCAATTAAAAATCTTCGTACACATAAATCGAAACATTCACTAGCGCAATCATGGTTTCAGATGTTTCAGTATTCGGCTTAATTTAGCAGGCAATTAGTTAACCCAGAGAGATTGGCTCAATTGCATAAGCATAAGCAATTGTTTCCACCTGAATGTGTTCTATATAAAATGTCCTCGCTTTGCTTTTTCTTGTTTAAGCACGTCTGGCGGATGGGCCACAAATGAAACCATAGTCCCGTAGTTACCCATACTATTCATTTTTTGATAATGAAAGTAACTTGTGCTAACTTTGCCTGATTTGTCCTAATTGCAGAGAGGAATGGGTGGTTCTAGTTAGCTTTCGCATTTACATTATTTCTTCTACGGTAAGTTTGAAAATAGTCAGAGTTGAGTAACTTCCAGATTACGGTTTAGCTGGTTGCACAAGAGCTCACAAGGATCCAGTTGGGGGACAATTTTAATTCACTTCAGACGCGATCTTCCCTTTTCATAACGTATGGCACTGGCTTGTATTGGTTTTTGCCCAGTCTTTTTGATAGAAAAGCCAAAATTTGTAAGGGTATTTGTTTAGTGGATCGGTACATCAGTAGTGAAGGAAAAGATGGTCACACCATTTGTGGTCGTGCACTTCGTCGACATCGAGAAAAGAATATCGCCAGGACGGAGACTATCAGGCCCAGGGTAGAGGCGAGGATAGCAAACAGGTACGACCATTCATGGCTGATCCTTGCCGTATATAGAAGAATGGCCACAAGATTTACTCCAAAACCTACGTAGAGGCATGTAACACAAGCCACTTGAAGATGCGCGTCGCCCGTATCATTGCAGAATCTGACAAGACTCATGGAAAAGGTGACCGAAAGGAAGAGAATGGCAATTATGTGGAGGACACCAACGGCAAATGTGATGTTCTCGAAGTCCTGAACCTGCGCGTGAAAAAGATTCCCATACTTCCAGTGGTTGGTGTTGATTGCTATCAGCGACAGCGTTATGCCGATACCAAGCAGAATCGTGGAGAGGATGTGCATGACTCAGAGGAAAAAGCTGCCTCCTTTGAATGGCTGCGGCGGTAACTGATGGCAAATCCGTCTCCGGTGCCTGTTTGTGCGCCTGTCTGCCGAGTGTGTTTTCGTCCGTGAGTGTGTGTGTGCGACTTTGCCTCGTCTACGTTCAGGCTGTGTGGTGTGCCTCTCCGCCACTCCTGATTGGTCAGTTCTTGAGACAGCGTGAATCATGCTGCACGGCGAATAGGTGAGCACAATGATCGCGCTGCTTAAGATTCTGCCAGCTGGTGGCGCGCGTGTGTTATGTGCTTCCAAACGAATGCTAAACTTCCGGTCTGTTGTGCAAGGTGATTGACAGGAGGTAACATTTTAGAGGAGGTTTAATGCAACGAAATATCGCTAAGACACTAGCTCGCGCGACGAGGAGAGCTGTTTTACAGTTCCTTGGCAAATCATTAAACGGCAGCCCAGCTAGAATGGGGTAAAACAATATTCCAATTCGAAGAAGCTAAGATCACACGCCTACCTGACAATAAGTGAATCGGGCTTTCCAGCAGTAGATTAGGAACGCAATTTTTCAATTTTCTCGGTCCCAATGATCAAGGATTTTGGGGAAAAGTATGCTTATTCAGTCATCAACAACCTCTTTCACTGAATCATTTAACAGAGTTTATTTGAGATCCTACTTTATAAACTGGCAAGGCATGAGGTTAACACATTTCTTTTCAAGTAAGGGCATTCAGCGGTTAGATTTGCTTAATGACTTGACTAAGGTGGATGATAAACTGAGTGAATTGTTTCAAACAGTTGACAGTGTTATCTAGGAACTGAGACAAACAGAGATTTCGCCCATAATTTTATTTCAACAACTGAATTAGGATAATAAACTTTTTCCTGCGTCGTGAGAGCGTGAAAATTTATCAAATCTAACATACGATACTTTTTCTGACGGCCTAATCGAGTGCTTGTTGTTGTTAAATGTCCGCTTTTATCCAACTAAGGCCTCTTTCCCTATGAAAGCGACAGAGAAATTTGAAAATGAACTTCGCGTATCTGAAGAAGGAAACTTGATGCCCGAGCGCTAGAAACACTGAAGGGAAAAATCGGAGGTACGGCAATCTAAGACATATCGAAAAAATCTTATCTAAACGGACGGTTGAGAGAGAGCTTTACTTTTCCTTTGAGATATCCTTACTACCTGCAAACCAAATCGATGTACGATGAGCTAACGTTACTATGAAGACTGCATGACCCGACTGTTTATATCTTAAGGGTTTTGGGAAAATCTGATGGATAAGTGGCGCGGATAACCTATGTGAGAAGTAAAAACCCGTTCTGCAGATGAGCTGAGGTCCGGTATAATTTACGTTCAAAAATGTCAGATTTTGCGATGACCCAATTTTGTTGCATATGCAAATTCAGTCGACAAACTGGTTCTTTGGTTTAACTTTTGGCAGCCCCCTCCCCCTTTCGCCCAGTAAACCATTTTTTCATATACGTTTTTTCGAAAAATGATCTAGAACGGTGACTCTGAACCGGGAAAGGGCTCGCTCTGTCCCATTGGGATCGCAATGCTTAATAATTTAAGCACCAGTAGGTACTGAAGTCGCAGTTTCTGTTTAACAATTTTACGCACGGTAAGTCAGTGAGCCCCATTTAAAGACCGATTAAAATAAGAAGAAGACAAGGAGGTGGTATTCGAGCAAGGGAACATAGTGCTTGTTTAAAAATTCTTTTGACAGAGTGTTTCAATAGCATCTCAAGTAGCTGTCATTTCAAATGCAATCTCCAGGCAGAAAGAAGACTTTTTGGAAGCTGGGCCAACTTCCAAAAATGCACGTGGTCTGTGCTTCAGATGAGCAGAGGAGTGCTGGATTGTGTCTCACTAGTCCTTCGGCCGAATACAGCATTCTTTGAACCACAGGAGTGTTGGCAGCTCCAACCATATCGCAATACCACCCAGGGTGCAACCAATAACTGACAACAGTGCTGACCAGGTCCGGTTGATGACAGTTGTGAAAATCAAAGTAGCGATAAACACTGACAGGGTTCCCACGTAAAGGCCAATGTAGAAAGTGAGGAGCAGGTATCCCTCCAGCTCTGGAAATTTAGCCCAGTAGAGTCCAGTTAAGAAAGCTATGAAGTATCCGATTGCACCGAAGACAATAAGGCCTCCAATGGCTGAACAGGCATCCTCCCAGTGTAGGTTTGTCGACTGGAAGAGACTTCCGCCTTGCCAAGCAGTGGTGGACACCGCGATGATCGCAGAAATCATTGCAAGGCCCAAAAATA